TCCATTCCTTTATTGATAGGCATTTATAAATTCCTTTCTTAATAGCTTTTCTGTTACTCCATTATTGCTTAGATTTAAGTAACATTTTTATAATCACAGAAATATTTAAGTACTTAGGATTTGCAGGCTTAGACCACATAGCAAACCACTCTTGAATATATACCACTGGGGATGTCTTCTTTTTAATTATGCCTCAAATGTAGTAAAATGACAAATAATTGAAGATATTATTTTTAACATCAAATGTAATTTGTTCAAAATTTACATTCATCTTTCTCATAACTACTCACTTCCATTTTGTCTTCCTGTCATCCTGAGGAATGAAAATGTAATTTCCCAGAGGCCTTATGAATTGGGGGAGTATTAAATGTAGCTGAAATTAAGTGATTAATAATTTACTTTTGAGTCATGAATCAACTTCATGGGATGCTAAGGATCATTTGCAACCCCACAAGTACAAGCAGTAACAATGCACTTTTTAAGACTCCAGAACTCTCCAAGGTTGGCTGCCCAACCTAATTAAACTTCAGTCTTCTGATACCAAATTTATTTCTTCTTTGTGCTGAATTTCCTCAGATCTTCTTGACGGGAAAATGTCACTTTGGCTGACAGCTGATAGACGGGTTATGTAGCACCATAATTGGAGAGAAAAGGATAGCTTAAAGCTACTCTGTTTAATGGCTACGTGTATGGCTGTTGCTTTCTTTCTTGTTCCTGTTTTTAAGGTTTCTATGACAGACACAAAAGGCCTTAGCGAATGGGGCCAGTGCCATTTTCTTTCCTGCTTCCTCCAGGGGTAATTATCTCACTCCATCAATAGTGCTGTCAGAAATCGGGCACATAATTCAGCATTTAAATGAACAAGCAATGTAATATTTCCTGTCTCCCAGTGGAATGCTTTGCAGCTCACATTCTTCTCTGTCACTCGCTGACTCTTGATGTATGTCCTGTACCCAGTCCTTGAATGCTTTCTCTCCCTTGTGTTTCATTGCAGATGTTGGCTCCGACTTGACACCTACTTCATCTGGAGTTTTATAGGACCAGCGACCTTGATAATTATGGTAAGAACTCCTAATTAACTATGTGTTTCCCAGGTCAAGAAATAAAACTTTCACTATCCCTGTATTGACTATCTTTCATTTACATAGGTTAATCTGGGGGAAGCATGTAGTTTTTTGACCCTACATAACTCAAGCAATTAGACACTCATTATAGTCTACTTTTATGTTGTAAAATAGTTAATCAAAGCCGGTGGGAGAAGAAAACATGCATTTGCAAGACTTTGTGCAATGTTATGGCTACTCAGGGGTCCAATCCAACATAATCCATTTGGTTTTGTAGATATTTGAACAGTGATGACTTTAAGTTTGACACCAGCATAATTCCATTCTTTTTGTTTTGGATAATTTGAATTGGGAATGGACAAGAATTAGAAAGGTGGGAAAACACCTTAGTGTTCCTTCAGGGGTTTTTTTTTTTAGTATAAATCTTGAAAACATTGAAATTTAAAAGGATTTCACTTGAGAACGGCACAAGCGAATTAGACATGCATTCTGGAATCATGCTTCCTTTTTTACTTTTAAATGCATAATATCTTGATTTTGAAAATCAATTACTTATTCTAATTTAGATAAAAATTTTAGTAACATTGTTTATATATCATTTTTACATTATAAAGTTACTATCCATTTTTTTAATAAAATGTTAGCGTCTTGACTTTAAATAAAATATAGGTCTATAATTTCTTATCTGAAATCCTTGGGACCAGATGTATTTTGTGATTTAGAAAATTTTTAGACTTTAGAATGGTAAGATGGCACATATGATGCATAATATATAATGTCCCTAGTAGGGAATAGGTGGTTACCCCAAATCAAACACATCGACCAATACTCATATTAGGGACTAGGCAGCACTCGTAACCAAACACAATATTTCAAGAGAAAAAAAGAAAAAGAGAAAAAGAAAGAAAAGAACTAGAAAAGGTAAGAGCAAGTAGAATAAAAACAATGGATAGCCTTATATCAATTCAAATCAGGTTTTCCCACCAAATAGATTTAGTTCAGGATAGACTTTTTTGGCCACTGAATAGATTTTTTTTTTTTAAACTTTCAGACTTTTTGATTTGGAGATGATCGATACAGGATTATGAACTTGTATTATTGAGAGAATCTCACTGGGGCTTTTAATTGGACTTTCCTAGACCCCGCTAATCCAGAATTGTGAAAAATATAAATTAATGAGGAGGCAAAGGGCGATTCAGTGTGTGGTTTACTATACAGTTTACATACATGTAGTATATAGAATTTACACTGGAGCTTTTTGTTTTGTTTTAAATCATATGCTTTCTCTGGTTCTAGTGATACAGCAATGTCATTGAGGATTTCCTCTACTTTAACACTAGTTTATTCGTTTGTTGCAGCATCAGAATTTAACCAACATTTTATAATGTTTTTGAACTAGTTATTCAAAAATATATTAATTTTAGTATTTGTGTTTTTCTAATGCAGTATTTAAAAATGTTTCCCTAAGCAATAAATTTGGAACCATGTTCAGAGTGTAGAAATAATAATACGCCAAGAAAAATTACCATTTCCTGTTTTTGTTTTTTTGACATACAGTGGACTTTGAGTTGTTTCAAAATTTCCATAGCCTCATTCCAACTGCTGCTGATTTTGTATTTGTATGATTTGGCATAGCGGAGCTTCGTAACTCAGTGGTATCCCAATTCCCAAAACTGGCTTTTTGCCTTTACTAAACACTAGGCAGTCATCTGTGATCCAATTCCTTTAAACGTGTAGTGAGAGCTAATTTCCCAGAACAACTCACCTGTTATAGAGAATGGACTTGCTTTTTTTCCTACTCCAATTATGCTACATAATGCTACCTTTTGCATTCCAGCTTAATGTAATCTTCCTTGGGATTGCTTTATATAAAATGTTTCATCATACCGCCATACTGAAACCTGAATCAGGCTGTCTTGATAATATCAAGTAAGTGATTTTTATTTTTGTTTTTCATAGGTTGTCTTACATTTGTACTCTACCCTATCCTTGCTTTCGATTGTATCTAAATCTTATGACAAAATGATAAAGAAGATGAGTATATTGTCTTTGCTGAATAAGATCACTTATTGACTATTGAGGTGACTTGATCTGCCTGAAAATAAGTATAATAAAAGTTCTGTCTTCAAGGATACTTTTTTCTCCTAACCCTAATTTAAAATATGTTAAGTTTTAAATATCTATGTTCATTTTGTCCTGAAAACAAATACAAAGTTTCTGGGTGGGACAGACTATTATTTCTTAGAGCAGTAAGAAATATCACTCCATCTCTTCCTTCAGAGCAACATGACGAGAGCCAGCACCTACAAGTACAAAAAGTGGGGTTTTCCACCATAGAAGAGGGACCCTGACATTGCGAATGTGGGCATTAGTAGCTGTTATACAGCTGCCCTCCTCAGTAGAGAAACTTCCCTAATGTAAACAGATACTTTGTAATATAAACGTATGGCTACAAGTTTTATACTCCCTTTGACATATTAACACTAAACCTTCTGGGAGGTAAATCTCTCCAGAAGTCTCTATCTCTTTGATCATCTTTTAATTTTCAATGTTGGTTCTTTAACCCAAGTTCCACTCTTGTATGCTCAGAAAGCCCTACCATTCAGAGGTATGAAAATGTTTGCGTTATTTTTCAACCCTAGTAGTACTTTATATAGGCAAAAAAGTAACTAGTTTACACTTTTCTGAAAAGAAAAATGATTGCATTCCTTGATATAACCAAAAAAATTATTGTTTCTTTAGTGCGCTTGATATTTTAGAAAGATAGTGGTGCTGAGATGCACATTAGTCTTTAATATATATGAGTATTAAGTTGCATTTTCATATAATTTGCATATGCTATGTGTTAAATTAATTAAATGCTTTTATTTAAATGAATGTACTTTGAGAAGTTTCATGAAGTCACCTGTGACTTTTATGTGCTGCCGACATTCTCCTTGAACGACCTCAGATAGCAGCTATGTCACCCATATTCCATCTTTCTACATTCAGTGCTTTACATAGTTCCTGGCCCATATTAGGCACTCAATGAATGCTTGCAGAATAAAGTAATGTATTAAAGACTTTAGTACAAAGGTGTATTGACATTAGGTAGTTAATTTTGTTGAAGTAATCATTTATCTAAGTTAAATAAGAATAGCTAAGGTATTAGAAAAATAATATAAGAGACTAGAAATCATTTACTATGAGTAATAGCCTTTTGTAATTCTTAATATTACTTAGTTGAGATAATAGTCATCATATTGTTGAATTATGTGTAATTAAGCTGTTCTTCTAAAATAGTGTTAGTTCCTTAGACTGTTTGTTTCTGATGAAATTGAATTTGGATAAATTAAGCAGGCACATAAAATGTATTTATCATATTTATACTTTATTACATCTTTACCTATTATTCTGTAGTATAAAATAATACACAAGTGATACTTTATTATTTATGTTATGTATTTAAAATACTATCAGAAGTAAGTGAATAAAACTTTATATAACATCTTTTACCAGGTTCAAAATTAGAAAAAAAATATTATTCTTTGTCCTATTCTTCAGGTATACCTTTTAGGCAATCTTTAAACTTTTTTTGTCCAGTTCAGCAAAC